TTATTAATATTTTATGAAACACAATTTTTTTATTTTTAGGCCTCTAAAAAGGGGAAGGGGTTGAGTGTGGATAATCCCCATCGCTCTACTATATCCGACCTCAGCTTAATAATATAATCATTAACAACCCAGAAAAGGTATAAAAAAAGGTGATGGGGAAAGAGGACAGTCCATTCTTCTAATTTTTCAATTTGTTTTAATTATCTCTACAACCAATATCTCAAGGGCGGCTCCTAGACGAATTTTCGGGGAGAGCCATTGCTTTTAGCCATTCCCTTTTTAGCATATTTTTTTGAAAAAATGCCCATAAATCTTAAGAATTTTCATCTCGGGGTGAGGGCATGGTCCCCATAGTCCCCTTGAGCTCTTGCGAATATCTCAAAATACTCGAATTAAAGAAAAACCAGATTTTCACCCCTCATCTACACTTAGAAATGGAGGTAGGGAAATTCTACCCCCTATAATTGGTGACTTGTCTTTAGGGGAGGGGGGTGAAATTATTTTCTAAGCCTAGCTAGAGTGCGTTCATAAACGCAACCATACGTTATGGCTTATGACGTAAGAGTGATGCGAAATTTCGGACAGAGTTGTCAGAGTGCTTTCTAAAAAATATAAACGGTATATCATACATGAGCAAAAATTTCACGGTAGGTGGATAGAGTGGAATAAAAATAAAAAATAACCTAAATTATAATCACATTTATTATTATATTGATTGGTGTTGGCAAAATATTAGTTATTCAAAATGTGTATCAAAATGTAGTAACCTTTTCGGAGAGTGCAGACGATTCTAGTGAGGAAGAAGAATTTATGAATATGATTTTGTTATCCCAAAAAAGAAAATTAAGGACTCCCCAATGGACAGAAAAGTATTTAGAGAGAATTGTTCTAGGACTTAATGTCCAACAATGTCAAGAACATTTTCGAATGATGGTAGATTTATACGAAAGTTTATTGCGTTTGAATGGACCACAATTAGAAAGACAATCCCCAGTTGAACGTTTCACAATAAATGTGGAAAAACAAATACTAGCTGTGGTGTGGCTTCTGGCGACTCCAGAGTTATATAGGTATGTATTTATTATTGAAGTAATAATAAATATACAAACTAATTATTTTATATCAGTTGGCGAAAGATTTAATTTAGCAAAATCATCTGTTTTAATTTGTTTTATTAGAGTTGTCAAACTTCTAAACTATTGCTTCTCAAATAAAGTGGCCTGAAGGACAAAGACTCATTGAAGTTCAAAGAAAATTCCAGAATATTGCAAATTTACAAAATGTTAGAGGCGCAGTTGATGGCACGTACATTAAAATAAAAGCACCCAAAGAGGACCCACAATCCTTTATTACAAGAAAATGCAATTATGCATTTACATTACAGGCAATTTCTGAGCCCAGATATTTTTATTGGGTATTCAAATTTCTTGATATGAATCGAAATGACCTTGTTCCTGGAACAGTTATAGCAGCCTTCGTTTTGCACAATATCTGTTTAAATCATGAGGATCTCCGTATTGAAGACTACATTCAACAAGGAGTTCCTAATATTACAAATGAAGAAAATAACTTAATTATAAATAATATTCAAATAGAAGAAGCTAGAAGATTTCGACGGAATCAAATATCTAGGGAACTGTATGCAAATCGAAATTAATTAAAAACTAAATATTCTATATTTTTATTCAATGTTAACAAAATAAACATTATAAATATTATTAATTTTGGATTTTAATAACCCAATCACAAAATAAAACAAAATATCCATTCTTAAAATTATCTTCATAAATCAACTAAACTTGAAAATACAAATTATAACTAACTAAAAGCTAATATAAACATTATTTTTTAAATTTTTCCAACAGCAAATCCATTTTATCATAGAACACGTCGACTGCCCTGTTTCTAACAGCTAGTATTTCCTGGTGCCGACGATCTCGGTTTATTTCCCTTTCTTTATTTGTCATTTTCATTTCATCCCAGATGGTAAGAAAGCCTGTTTCTTTGGTTAATTATTAGCCATTTTCGATTTCACTTTACTCTCCTTTTCTTTTGAAACTTTGGGCTGTTTCTAATACCTATGCATTCTGTTCATTAGACACTATAAAATAAATATTGATATGCAGCTTAGGATCGATTCCACCGTTGTGTTAAACGAAGTTTAAACTTCTAAACATTAACAATGTCATTTTAATCTTCGTTTAACACAACGGTGTAATCAGCTCTTAGTGGCTTAATAAAATTACCTAACAGACAGTTACAAGAAAGTTCATTAAAATTATGAGTCTGATAGAAATTGAGAATGTTATGTCAACGTTTGCTACATAGGCTCTTAAATTGTTACTTACTTGTATCACCTCTAAGTGAAGCTGCTATTGCTATTGGTTTAACGTTGTGTTTTTTTGCTAAAAAGTTATCCATTTCTTCATAATATGGAAAATCAAGGGCTTCTTCGCCAGTACCTTTGTCACCTCTATTGTCTTTTGCTGAAGTATATTTCGCTTTTAGATATCCCACTTATCATTACTTTGTGTAGGTGTATTAAAACCATTCTGTTTTAATTCTTGTGCAAGTAGAATTCTTCGTCATATTTTATTCTCAAATCAATTAACATTAAAATGGCACTTTTTGACCACTTTATACGTTTATTTTCGTTTTTTACATCGGAATCAAATGATGAAAAATTAATTCTGTCGATGTTTCCAAATTGTCATCTGTTTGTCCCACTGCTTCATCACAGGATTGCGTATTAAAGGCATTTATTATTTCTTGCGTTGGTTTTACAAAACATAAGCTTCCATCTATAAGAAAAGTCGGGTAACCTCCAATAACAATTATTCAAAAACTTACCAGAAATGCTTTGTAAACATATCTCGCCGTTTTCCGACGTTAAAATATTCCCATTTTCTAATGTAACTACATTAAAGTTGGAAAACGAACTCATTTTTGTTCTACCAAATTCCGAATCAAAATCAATACCAATCGATACAAACTAAAAGGGAAAATAATACTGCGCATGTCGAGTGATTTTTTGCCGGTATATTTCAACTGGCGAATGTTTGACACTCTATAGGTGTACTCCGAGCGAGACATACTAGGTTTGTTCCAACAGCGAATCTGATCATCAGAAGGACGTTAGACGCATGCGCATTGAAAATAGTCTGTTCCTACAAAGTCACGGATGATCCGATGAACTGTCAGTAAAACGTTTCAACGTATTTTCTGATTCGTACCAAAGAAGTAGAGAGGGTAGAACGATAAGGTACCGTCTGCGCATCCATCACGAGTGTAGAAATTATGCGTGATTCAGCCTTCCACTCTTACACACGTAAATGACAAGGAGAGGTTGCCCTAAAGCACTGTAAACAAATTCCAGGATCGACTTTATTCAGCGATTATGTTCATGTTCAGCTCTGTTTTTTGTTTGTGTTTTGGCTGTTGTAAGCTTTTTTGGCGTCAATTCTTTGTTATCTTGCTTATATTTATGATTTTTTATGCTTTTATTCCGATTTAGTATTAAATTATACTTGTTAATTATTTTTCGATGCACTATTTTATAATTGTTGCACAAAATGTTGTTAAACCGTCCCTGAATTTTGTTTACAAAATGTGCAAAACGAAATTGTGCATAGTGTCCAGACTTTTTCATTGACAGTTATCATTCTACCCCTCTCCACTTCATTGATTCGTACATGAATGAGTCGGCGGATTGTCAAAACGATCAGAGCTTCATCGCTTGTACAATTTATCAGCACATGCGCATTTGAACGTCTCTTCTCGTTCGTGATATTTTTTTGTAATTGTTGAGATTTTAAGTTAGCTTGGAGTGGCTTGGGTTTCTATTGCTTTTAATTGAAATGAATAATTTTTGTGTGCGGATTTTTTTTGTAAAATGCATGCTTATTTTTAATAATAATAAACAATCTTAATGTTTCAAAATTATACATTCACATAGAGCGTTCGAGACAGCTAAATAAATGTATGTTGTTGTATTTTAAATAATTTTAAAATACCAATTGACCAAACATATGTTTGGTTTGTCAAATTCCATTGCATTTTGCGTTCCAACAAGGACAAGTCGCTGATTAAACAACGGACGAATAAACGGACTGACATGCGCAGTGATTAGTTTACGAATGCATCCATGCACGAGTCAGAGACACATCAGAAAGGCGCTGTTGGAACAAACCTACTATAATTTATGAACGATTATAAATTAAACGACTTTTGAGTGAATTATCGCACAGAGTGTGTCCAGAGTGCACTTTATGAACGCACTCCAGTAGTGTTCTATATATCGACCTTCTCTGGGGGTGGGGGAAGAAGTAAGGGGAGAAGTTGGGCAGTTTTAAATCGTTTAAGACGGGGCCTATGGCCCCGCTTTTAATATTAACGCGTGGTAGAGGAAGAGGAAGAGGAAGTTGGAGGAGTGAGTGGAGAAGTAATTTTTTTCTTCCGTTGTAAAAATATTCTTTGATTAACCCATTTATGTATTTTCCATAATTAGTAATGAAAACAAATTATATACATATAACCACTTGTGCGCGAAAAAAAATGACGTAAAAGAGTGTATCTGAGTACCACGGGACGGGAGCAGAGGTGGCAAGGACTGACGCGGCGATTTGGTATTTTGGAACTTCCTAAATAATGTTGAGGGTATTTGGGCATTAAAATACGTGGCCACGGAGCGGGGAAAGGGGGTTACTTACCACCTATGATCATTGAGAACAAGACGTGGAATGAAATTCATAATTGTGGATCAATGAATTTCATATATAGAAGGTCGGGATTAAAAACTATTTCCAAACTTATTTATTGATAATACTAAAGCTCGTCAATAGCTACTAAACAAAAATTTAAAAAATTAAATCTGTACACAAACAGAAGAGAAAATGGTACTGAACTATTTTGTCTGTGCCCATTTATATATAGATTTGTGTACTATTATTTTATAATTTTTAATAATACACGTAAGTAAGTAACAATTATTAAAGACTTACCAGTATTCATTATTATAGAAAAAACAAATAATAAACCTACGATAGAGGAAAAACTCATATTTTGCTTCATATTTCCAATTAGTTAATAAATCCAATGGTTTGTAATATGAAATCTTCTTTAAAATCTATTTAAATAAATTTATCTGCAATATAAATAATAAAATATAAGTTAATACCTACGCTATGCTTTCTACAAACTCAAAACGCAACTGCCAAGTAAGTAAAAATCTAACTATTTCCAGGAAAGTGATATACAGTTACGAAAATTTAAATGTGGATCGTCTAAGCCAAATCTATAGAGACGAACGTAAGTGGGAGTGAAGTGGAAGTTATACGTATAGCCTGAGATACACATACAAGCAAATTGTGCTAGTAGCTTGCATGCCAGTAGCTTGCTTGTGCCAGTAGCTTGCAGACCGAGGATATATTTGCAAGTAAAATTGCAAATCAGTAGCTTGTATGTGCCAGTAGCTTGAAGACGGTGGATATACTGGCCAGTAGCTTACAAGCCTTCGTGATCGCAGAGATTTTGAATAGGTTAATACAACGTTTCACGCTAACCTGTCCCAGAATTTTAAAGTGTTTTTAGTTTTTAAATTTTCACAAATGGTCTTTCACATAGAAAAGGTTTGAAGCGAATTAAATAGGGTAATTTTGTCGTGCAATAGAATGTGTACGTCAAATAATACAACCTAAACGAAGCAGAAGATGGAGAACGCGTATTTGGGTGAATACATTTTATGGTCTTTTCATCTTCCCACCGAGGCATGATGATACGGTATCAACAAAACGAAAAAAGAAAACTTGACGGCGATCACAACTTGCATGCAACTATTGACACGCTAGTACCTGTCATCTGTGTTCACACATTCAATTTGGCATGCAGTTCGTACCACCCACCATACAAATTGCACATTACATGCCAAAAAATCAAATCTTGTTCAATCTACTTGTATACAAGCTACTTTTATGCCAGTTAACAGATACACATGCAAGTAGCTTGAACATTTAAGTAGCTGGCATGCAAGTGTGCAAGCTACGGGCATGTGTATCTCCGGCTTTATCGTGCGCCAGGCGCTCCGTGTTGCTCTGTGGTCTTTGTTTATTTTATTTGTGTTTCTTGTGACTTGTGACCTTGTCCAATTCATTGTAACTTTTAGGGTCCGTGTTTAGATTTTCGTACCTGTATACGTATTGACGATCGAATTTCTCGACACACACGTATTCTTTGATTTGTAATTTAATTGACATAAAATCATTTCTTATTTTGAATCTTTCCTTTTTATCTACAATTCTATTCCGGTGAGATCGAGATGGTTCCAAAGATGATCAGGCATAATTCATAATATGGGAACAGTTCCCGCAGGCCAATTTAAATTTCTTTACAAAAACTCGTTAATTTCTTAATAGCGCAGACCAAAATAGCGCAAAAACAAAATAACGCAGAATAAAATGACGCAAGGGCAAAATTCATTGAAATAATGCGTAACAAATACTATTCCAACGACGCACATGTAGACAACCCAGCAAACACAAACATGTAACATATATGTATCATTTACATGTACTAGTTCCGTGTTACATAACAAAGTAACTTACATGTTACATAATAACTCATGTGATTACTGTGAAAAATGACCTAATTTTGTTATATAGCAGGTTCCTTATATTTGATGTAATGGGTTAAGTACATATAAGGAACAGTGTTATATATCGGAAGACATGTAACATTTATATTACCATTGTAACATCTAATATGCTTCATTATTACAGCACATATACATTACTTTTTTCATATAACATTAGTATTATAAATGTTATATAAATGAAGGTATTAGTTATACAGTGTGTCTACTTAAGTTGGAACAATATGGAAAACTCTTGTATTATTGACTTTGTAAAAAAAAGTATTCTTGATAAAAAGTTCTGCATGGTCTAAAACTTAAAATGCAACCATCAGATATAATCCGTATACGAGGTTTTTCTAAAAATATGAATTTTACTCAAGAGTAAAATACCTTTATTTTTTACAATACAGAAGAATATTATAAAGTAAAGTTACTTTGAATTAAAAGTTATATTAAAATATGCAATTATAGTCATTTAGCATGAAAATTCAGGTTAGGTGATTATTTACGTTTTACATTATAAATTATTTGTAGTTATAAATTAATTAATCACCAAACCTGAATTTTAATGCTAAATGGCTGTAATTGCATATTTAAATATATCTTTTAATTTAAAATAATTTTACTTTATAACATTCTTCTGTATTGTAAAAAATAAAGGTACTTTATTCTTGAGAAAAATTCATATTTTTTGGCAAACAGCTTAAAAAATTGATATCTGATGGTTGCATTTTAAGTTTTGGATCATACATGACTTTTTATCTAGAATAAATTTTTTCACATAACCAATAATAAAGTTTTTCTCTATGGTTCTTAAGTAGACACACTGTATGATAAATACTACAAAAAAAAAACGTCGAAAATATTTGGAGGAATAAAGAAAAGTAATTTAAACGTATTTGTTAGGTATATCAATAATTTTATTGGACAAATTCATAACCGAAACCAAAAATGTATTATAAAAATATTGCACACAAATATAATAACCTAAATTCATCATAAAAATCACAAAACATCTGCAATTAACGACCATCCACGGCCTCAAAATTCAGCGCCCCATATCAAGCATGACCTGAAAGGAGAACAAAAATTAATATTTACACCTCAAATGTATCATAGAAATACAGTACACACATATAACTCAATTTCATTATAAAAACATAATATACCTGCGATTTTCCACAATAAATCCATAAATGCCACAGGTACCACCATAAAACGCATATAGCCGCCATTGAACATTGAAACACTACTAAAAATAATGCACCAGATATACCTACTTACCTAAAAACATGCGTATTTCAAGGACCGTTTGGTCAACAGCATTTATTTATATATACGCTATGTAACATTCTTAACGAAATAATTTAGTACAAATTGTTACTTTAATGTAGATTACATATAGATATATAAATTGATATAACTACGTGAAGAAATTTATATAACGGATATGTAATTTTGTAACATATATTTTAATTATATACATGGTATATAACTATGGCGCTAAGTTTGAACTTAGGTGTTCGGTTCCATAAATAACACATAAAAGTGCATACAAGAGAGTCTAAGTATATTTTTTCCTTCTTAGTTATGTAACAGGAGGGAACATGTAATAGAATGGTTTGCTGGGAATGATTGAATTGTAGCTCCGTCTTTCTCACATTTTAGGATCCGACCTATTTTAGCGCGAAACAATTTCATGCAGGACAAATTTGCGCTGATACAAATACATGATAGTCCAAGAGCTAGTAACACACATTCCATTAAGTGTTTGATGCACTTTGAAATTTTGTAATTTGAAATCATTTGGATGGAAAAGCAGATATACCTGTGTTGGCTAGACCCACCCCGGGAGACCAGGTACTGCGCATAATAGAAAGGGGTCGTAAAATATAACTCAAAAAAAGTGTTTGATTCAGAGGCCAACTAACAACAATTGAAAGTGTTTGATTCACGCTGAAATTTTAATAGTGTCTTAATTAACTATAAAAAAAAATTAATTCCAAAAAGGCAGACACTTTTTCCTGGGTTTAATAAGTATATACTTATTCAATGCATAGTGGCGCATAACGAGGTTCATTCATTTTTATGTTGGCCGGCAATTAAACCCCGGAAAAAGTGTCTGCCTTTTTAGAATTAATTTTTTTATATTTAATTAAGACGCTATTTTAGCGTGATTCAAACACTTTAAATCATATTTAAAAAAAATCAATTTTGGGGTTGATTTATCAATTATAAACCCTCTCAAAAGTGTCTGCCTAAATTACTAGTATTTTTAGAATTACCTAAACTTTCAATTGTTGTTTGTTGGCCTCTGAATCCAACACTTTTTTTGGGTCATATTTTACGACCCCTTTCTATTATGCGCAGTACCTGGTGTCCCGGGGTGGGTCTAGCCAACACAGGTATATCTGCTTTTCCATCCAAATGATTTCAAATTACAAAATTTCAAAGTGCATCAAACACTTAATGAAATGTGTATTACTAGCTCTCCGTCTATGATATAAATAGAGACTAATTGACGCCTAGTCTAAAAAATAACTTTGAAGCTTCCTCACAGGTAAACGACGCACTTGGTGATATAGATAATTTTGGCTCAATCGACTTATTTTGATCTCACCAACATACAGTAGCTCTATGAACACGGAATTTCGGGACACTCTGTATATTTATATAAATAAAGTTGAAGAAATCCGAATAAATTTGTAGGTACTTACATCAGAGAAAAACGGAACAGATACTAAGAAAAAATGAGATTGTGTCTTATTTAAATATACTCATAAACATAACAAGAAAATCTATTTGTCAAAGATGTCGAAGGTTATCTGTGTTATTTACTTTGATTGTCCCAAATACCGTATATCAATATTAATAAGAGCAAGAGGAACTATAAAGGAAATAAATCCAAATAATATTTGTTAATAAGATTAAAGGTTCATCTCTAAAGTATGTTCCTTTTTAATCCAATTATTATACAGAGTAGGAGAAAAGTCTGGGAACACCTAACTTGTTATTTGTATTACCCTTTTCCGATAATATTTAACACGTTTAGAGAAAATATTGTAGGGTTTCCTAATGTCCTCGAAAAATAACTTCTATACACTTTAACTAACTTGTTTATTAAATAACAGGGAACAGGAACAGAAACAACAGCACAGTGGGGAAAATTCACTTAGTGGTCAAAAATTATTTTAATGATAATTTTGATTATGGGCATCATTTTGGATGGATATCAGCCCACATAGCATAAATTAGGTTGAATACAACAAAATTACAAATAGTTTACAATAAAAATGTATTTATTAGGCGCCGTTCATTCTAAGGGTGTATAAGATACACTGTATATCGTAAACGATATACGATATGCGACTCGCACAGACATATACTTGAATTCTAAAGGAAGGCGATAAAAATAGGTTCACAACCGCGCGATATTTTGTGCAATCGCGTGATATACAGTTCTTAATATTCTGGGAAAAAAGAAATATGCAATTAATTTTGTGAAAGGTTTTTGAAAATAACATTTTATTTTTTAATTTAATTTGATCAAATACTCAAACTTTTCTCTCTGCTTATACGAAATTTCTTATCAGAGGCAGCTCGTGACCGAAATATTGTGTGTTCACAACGACAGAATATAGGTCTCAGTATAGCTGTAGGTAAAAAAACTTTCAGTGTGACTTTTATTCTATCATTTTGAACCCTAATATTTTGGTCCCAAGCCGCCACTGATACGTTTCCACACTATGCGTATTCGGCAGATGCGTATTTCGGCTACGTATTTTCGGCAAGGCGAGAACACATTGTTTTTAATTGGAGCGTTCACATATATGCGTAGAATATACGCAACCACATGGCATGCTGCCGGAAATATGCACCTGCGCATGTACGTGCCGAGGTCTGTCTACCGGGATTCCGAGAAGTTGATAGGAGACAAGTTATTTCCTCAGCGAGCGTTCACACTGTTCTATACAAACTATCACAAAAAAATAAATACGCACAAAATATTAACGCAGAATGTGAACGGACAATGTAAACACCAGTGGCGGCTTTTGAACAATATTTTGAGGGTTCACAATGACAGAATATAGATCTCAGTACAGATGTAAATACAAAACTTTAAGTGTTTTAGAAAGGTTTTAATACACCTTCCTAGAACACTAAAAGTTTTTTCCTACATATGTTCTGAGATCTATATTTTGTCATTGTGAACCCCCAAAATATTGGTTACTGGAGAACACACAACTCTTGTCGGTAATACGCATACGTATTTTACGGATTCTAAAAATACGCATAGTGTGGATCCGACCTTAATATATTTTTATAAAGTATATTATTGAGACTAATATAATGACAATTAATAACAAAAAAAATACAACGCAAAAAAAGCGGAAACATGCAAAACATTTTTATGGTTAAGCATAATTATAAAGATGCAAGGAATCATTATAGTCATCAAATTAATTTAAGACTGATTAAGAACATGACTATAAATTAAGATTTTAAAGAAACCTTACAGAATTTTGCCATATATTGACACACATTTCAATATTTTAAATTTGAAAAAAAAATTGCAAAGTTTAAAAAAAAATAAGTAATTTATGTAATACATGGAACAGCATCCATACTAAAAAATTATTCTTAATAAACGCAAACAATTCTTATCACTCTCAGAAAGTACTAAAAAGTACGTTCACACTCCTGTCACAGCTTGCTGTGTTCCTGTACCCAAAAACGTTTGAAAGAAGACTGAAATAATAGACCCATTTATTATTTTAAAACTATATATTTTGCACATCCGGTTAGCCTTATATTTTTTAAAATACGTTAGTTCAAAATAAAATATTTTAAAATTTTAAATTTTTATTTTTGGCCAGAAAAATTATTATTACTATGAGAAAAATGCGATTAAACCTCAGTGTGAACAGGTTCAAATACAAGTGTTATGTGCGACTTCGATGAAATCTTCGAAGAAGAGAGAGAGAGAGAGAGATGAGGTAATAATTATACCCGGACGCGTAAATAGAAAAGCTACTTCAATACGTCCCCCAGGCAGTGACCAACCAGACTAGGGTTTTTATGCGTTATTCGTGCAGAAAACCTACTTGAATATAGCCCCGGATGGTGCTGTATTGGACTAGGATTTTCCGGTTTATACGCGGCGTAATATTCTGTAATTGCTACGGCAAGTGTTTCTTTAGTGGTTATGTTTGATTATGTTTATAACACGTGGCGGCTCGGTATTCGGTTGTTTATAAAGAAAGAGTGAATTAACAATATATCCTACCAATAAAATGGAAGAAACTATTGAAACATTACTTAGTGCAATATTAACTGACTATCGAATCGTGAAAATGGACGGTCAAAGTGACGAAAGTTATACTGTGTCTTTTCAATGCAAGTTGAGTGGTGAAAGATATGATGAAAAATGTGATAAGTTTATACAGGCTTTTTCCAATAAGACAGCGAGCAATTGGGTTGTTGAGAAATGCATTCGTGAGGGACAACGATTTGAATTTCGTAAACGGTATTTATGCCATCTTTCATTAAAGACTAAGGTAAAAAATAAAAAGAATGGAGAAACGCGTAACTACAACTGTCATGCAAATATCAGCATACAATTTTTGAAACAAACACATAACACTTTAAAGAAATCCAAATTACTTAGAGAAGGATTACACGTTTTAATAGACATACATTATGTACATAGTCACAGATTGCACGTTGCTCAGGCTTACAATCTTTTACGTTGCAATGATGACGTCAAGGCGTTATTTGTCTCATATTTTGAATCAGGAATGACTCCTGCAGCAGCGAAAATATTCCATGAAATGGAATTGGCTCAAAATGTTGGTTTGAGGGTTGTTCAATGCTTAGCAAATGTTCAAAAAAACCCTACGGAAACACAAGTTAACTATTTATATAAAAAATGGCGAAATGAACGCTACGGTGAAAGATATGTGAGTAGCGCGGTTGAAATTTTAAAGAAGCAGGCCGATCTTTCGGAAGGCGAATTATATATATAAGGTAAGATCCTACTATTATCATTATTATCACGCCTATTATGAAGTGATTGTTTTTAGGTGGATTTGCGAATGAAATATTACCTATTTATAGATTCTAGCTCATCATGTGACCAGAGCAATACAAGTGTGTCCTTTTTTTTTTCGTTCCTACCAAAGTAGGCGCGGCACCAGTTGCAGTAGCTTTCCACACAAGTCAAAGTGAAATAAATTATTTATTGGTGTTTAATGCCGTGAAGGAAGCATTAGAAAAAAATACCGAATTATTATTTTCGCCTCCAGTTATAATGACTGATGATTCAACAGCAATGAGAAATGCTCTTAAAGTGGTATTTCCGAACTTTATTACTGTGTATTTTTCATGTAACCCAGGCGCTATGGCGTTGGCTCTGGTTAAAAGACAACAACATCCCAAAAGAAAATCGCAAATTAATAATGAACTTGTTTAGCGAAATTTTGTTTTCCAGTACCGAAGAAAACGCTAATGATTGTTTTACAAAGATGAAAGACCATGATGCTGTAAATACCAACCCAAAACGTATGAGGGAGAGACGCAAAGAATGGGAGTTAGGTTTTCGACGATTTACGGTAAATAGAGGACACAATACAAATAATTATCGCGAGGCTTCTATACGAATTTTTAAAGATATCGTCCTTCAGAGGTGTAAAGCCTTTAATATGTGTGCTTTGGCAGATTTTGTGCTTAAGACATTTGAAATATATCACAGAAAAAGACTGCTACATTTTGCTAATTCGAGATCCCGAAAAATGACACTGGACTATCAGAAATTTTTTGAAAAATCCAAAAATATAACCGAAGTTACACAGGTTGATGAAAAAACATTTAAAGTTCAGAGCGAACAAACATTAGAGTACTACGTAGTTGATAGTCTACAAAATAAATGATGAGTTTACACGCATTGGCCAATTTTACAAAGTGACGCAAATACGAGCCATATACCACAGTTACAGGTAAGAATTTCGCAACCTGATTATCAATTACTATATAGAACTTTTTTATTTACAGAAGTTTGCCGCTGTACTAGAAACTCTACAAACCCCATCACAAATCATGTCATTTGTGTGTCACAAAACAGCCGGTAGAAGATCAAGAAAAATTAAAGTACAACCAACATCTATTTCACGCCGAAAAGCTAGAGGTATTTCAGGAGGAAGAATTCAAGCTGGACGTCCTGCGAAATTAGAGCACCAAGGCGCTTACTTAATAAAACTTATATTTACAGTAATTTGACAAAGAACAACCCACAATTACATCACGTCGAAGAGCTAAAGAAACCTATTTCAGTTAAGATGCCAAAAAGCAACCCCATAATATTAAAAATCATTTACATTATGATAAAAAATATTAATAAACTATTCAAATACATATGTTTTTATTTACGCAAGAAAACACGGTCTGTACTGAAGTAGTATTTCTGCATGTTTAGGAACCGTAATAACGAGCAATCCTACTCCAATACGGCACCATCCGGTGATATATTCAAGTAGGTTTTCTGCACAATTAACGCATAAAAACCCTAGTCTAGTTGGTGACCACCTGGGGGACGTATTGAAGTAGGTTTTCTATTTACGCTACCCGGACCGGAAAAACCCAACAATGAAATAACATCATAATAGACCATATCGACAAAAAACAACTTATTTTGCAGTATTATATTTATTATACACCTATGACATTCTAGAGATAGAAAATATAAAATTAGCCACATTCGCTGTTGATATAGCTGTCTTAACCATAAAAGAAACAACAGATAATCTTAAAAACGGAATCAAAAGCATACAAATCTGGTCTAAATAGTGGCGCACAAAAATTAAAGAAGAAACCTCCGCTTACATTACAAAATTCTATTTTAAGTTCAGTTGGCTTATTACAGTGGACAAAATTTTTATTTTATGTAACACTATTAACTTATCACACTTTAAATTGCTGTATAATACTATTATTTTCTAAATCAAAATGAGAGTCGAACCAACTGCAGATGCTGCAGAATAGGGCAATGAAAATAATATTATTATCTATTAAGGAATTCATTAATTTTTATTTCTAAAACCAAACACAGGTTAATAACTTTAATTTTGATACTATATTGTTAAGGGTGCAACACAAAATTCACAATTTTTTTTTAAAGGTCTAGATCAGGGATTCCCAAAGTGGTCGATACCGATCCATTGGGATCGAAATCGGTTTCCCAGGGGTTGACAAACGAAAACTGATTTTGGGGGTCGACGAGGTCTCTAAATCGACCCCTATTAATTAAAACTTTCAAGATACTGTATAAGTTGTGTTGCGTGTACCAACATATTATAAGAATGACTAATATTTTAGTAGGAAGTATCATTGTTGTACTTTTAAAAAACTCGATAAGCGTGCACAAATTCGTACAAGATGAAAAACTCAGCAAGACAATAAGCGTGGACAAGTTCGTGCAAGATAATAAGTTGGAGCGCACAAGTCTTTCAGGCAAGTTATGACTTGCTTGAATGATAATACACTCATCTAATTTATTTCAAGAGACTACAAAATGATTACATAGTTAAATAAAGTAAATTAAATAGAATTTAGAATGCGTCATCTCCCCAAGACACCGATGGTTTACGAGCGTCCTATATTATATCATTACTAATAACGAAGTCGGAGAAACCCCACACAATTGGAGAGCAGCTTGTTTTGCTAGCTATTGCGTATTGCACAAGCTCGCACATGATAGTATAAAGATAATTCCTTTGAGCAATAACACCGTTCAAAGACGAATAGACGAGATGGATCAAGACGTGGAAAACATTTTATGCAATTTCTTACAGACAAACAGATTCTCTCTCCAGTTGAACGAGTCTGAATTACCCGGCAAGGAAACTTTGTTGTTAGGATATGTTCGATACAATAAAGATGAAAATATGTGCCGATAACTGCTTTTTGTTACATATTTAGAGACTGATACCAGAGGAGAATCGATTTTCCCGACCGTGGAACGTTTTTTTTTATCAACAAAGCTATTTCATAGAAGAACACTGTTTCTGTGGCGACTGATTGTGCACCATTTATGGTTGGTCGTCATCGTGGTTTTATAGCTCACTTTAAGCGACAACTGCCTGATATACTGGTCATTTACTGTGTGATTCACAGACAGCATTTAGTAGCAAACAATTTGAGTCCTAGATTGCACTAATCTTTACAATATGCTGTCATCAAGATTCGAAGCAATTCTTTTATTTCTCGATTCTTTGCTTAGCTATGTGGGGAAAACACGACGAAATCTTTCCTCGGTTACGTCTGCACTCTGAAGTTCGCTATATATTAAAAGGCTTCCGGTTAGCAAGATTTTTAGCTATTTTTGAATCTGTGTTAGAGTTTTTACAAGAAAAAAATCCAAATTTTAAAGAAAATCTGAACAATTATAAAACATATTTATTACTTGACTGATATCTTCGGATTCTTCGGTATGTTAACCAAAGTTAATTTGCAGCTGCAGGATGACGATCTTAACTTGATCAAAACAAAATAAATATTATCGGTCTTTGTGGGTAAACTTATTCTTTATAAATAAAATTTAAGAATATTCACAGTTTCCGCATTTGTCAAAATTACCAAAAATTCTTCATGACGATGTTATTTAATCATATGTCACTCATTTGGACGCATTAAGCAAGGATTTTACTAAGAGGTTTAAGGAGCTCTTAAATTCCTCAATGGATAATAAATCCGTACAATATCACAGTCATGGAAGAAGCCAATGTGATAATGCAAGAAGAGTTGATCACCATCAAAACAGACGAGGAGCTTAAGCAGACGTTGAACTAAGGCTATCAAAAATTCTGATTGCAGCGCCACATTAAAATGCAGTATCCTGTATTGTGGAACATTGCTGAAAAATACCTTATCGCTTTTCCATCATCATACCTAGTCGAAAAAGGCTTCAGTGTGGTTACAAACATTTTGGCAAAACAAAGAAACTGAAACTAAACCACCGCGGAGATTTTAGGCTGCAATTTACCAATATTGAACCAGATTTAGCTATTAGCTATGTTCATCCAACATACTGAATTTTTTATTTTTGTATCTTTTTATGCAATTTTATTATTATTATTTTTTTTTTTTTTTTTTTTCAAAAATATTTACCTACTTTAGTATTTTTACGAAATTTGTAGATATTAATAAATTTTATGTCTAATTATTTTGTTAAATTTTGATGAAAATATGAGTTTACTCACTTAATCAACCGCAAAGGTTTTAAAATGGTAATTATTTAGTAACTTAGTAACAATAGGAAAAAACACAGAGATAGGATTTTTAATTTAATTTGGTTATGGGGTTTGATATATCAGTTAATTTAGGAAAAGGGGTTTGTTGCCCAAAATAGTTTAAGAATTCCTGGTCTAGAGTAGGATAATTATGTTCCAAACTCTATTCAACTTAAACGCAAGTAACACAAATAGCTGTATGACTACAGCACATTAAGCTAGAGGGTAGGTAAACATTTAAAAGGGGATCACTAGGCTGGCCAATGCAGTGGAGCTTGTACTTGTCATGCTGTGTGGTTAAATTCTACAATTTCACCAGTAAAAACATCAACAAATTAATATTTTACATCTACTAAATAAATAAACAATTCTTAAATATTTCGACTGATTTTTACCCTAATATAATGTGAAGTCATAAAACTACAAATAGCATTTTTCTCAGAATACCGAACGTCGAACACATGTGTTTTCAGGTGCACAGCGGTGCATTGGAACAAAATGAGTATCCGGCGCATAGTTAACGAAGCACAAATGACGTATTTCATTATGTCATGATGTTTTCATTGGTTGAAACCGAATAGGTGCTTCAACTATGCCCCGGACACTCATTTCGGCCCAACAGTATATATTAGGGTGAGCTCGACGCGAACGGCATTCAGTAGTTGTCTTATTGCCACCAACAAGTTCAGTTGTCTTATTGCCACCAACGAGTTCAGTTGTCTTATTGCCACCAACGGGTTCAGTTGTCTTTTTGTCATCATCGCTCACAGTTGTCTTTGCCAGGTGCTTTCTGCCGACGACGGCACGTTACTTTCTACATTTTTACAAGCGTTTAATGCATTTTATTTTCTGGTGAAAGTTATATCTTCTACAATTATTATGGCATAAGAAATTCTACAAACAAATGTTTTCAAGTTGGTAACTAAAAAATCACCTGTATTAGTTAATCAAATTGTGATGAACTAAAATTGTAAATATTTAAAACTGTTTAGTGAAGATAAGAAAATTATTATATCCCAATGGAATCAACCACTATGTATTTACTTCAGTGAAAATAGTAAATTAAAAACCCTTCTTTTTCTACTACCTATGACTCGTTAGTTATTTCTACAAAAGAACCCAATTCTTTTAACACCAGCGACATATGCTACAGAACATTTTTACCAAAGAAATATTCGGAAGTAACACCGGTATTTTTTCATGGTCCTTCGAGCCGGATTCAAATTGTAAATTATTGGGTTCATCAAAAAAGAAAAATCTACAAGCTCCCTTGGCAGTGCTTCATAGTGTTCGAGAAGAAAAAGAGGCCAGAATCTACTAGTTAACAACAAGAATCAACAAGGTATTTTAAAAAAGACTTTTTATTGTGGGGAAATTTATTTTATTTTGATTGTTTTAACTTTTCGTTGGAGATTAAGGGTTTGTTAAATCATTATTAGTAAATTGCATTTATTTTTGTCGTGGATTTTTCTATTTTTTAAAAGAAAAATAATTTTTGTGATTTTTTCTGTACTTATTGTAATAGTTTACATATTTACAGTGTTTATTTAAAATTGTTGTTTTTTCATAAATTTTTTTGGTAAATTGTTTTTTGAAAGAAAAAATTTACTTTCTCTAATTTAATCTTTTGTCATATTTTTAATTTTTTTTTCTCTTTTACAAAAAAAAAAAAAAAAAAAACACCGTTTTTTCA